CCAAAACTCTTTCCACCGCATCCGGAATAGCTGCGAAAAGGATGTACCTGCCTATCGCAGCTGATCGTTTCCATTCAAGATGATATGTCAAATGTCAGTGGGCTTCGTAACCCTTCATAGCAGGGTTGTATTTTTTTCTGGACACCGCAGCATGCCGGGCGGGGACGAACAAGTCAAAGGTTTTTAGACTTCATTTCACCCCGTTGACACCATGGATGAGGAGATGCTGATTCTAGAAGTCTAGAAGTAGATTTCCTCCTCTGGAAGGACACAATCTACTGCTGATATGGTTATGTGGCTCTCTTTAAAGAGACAACTCGTTCTTGCGCGATTGCACGTGAATTTGCGGGTTCTTGTGAGTTCTTGCAATTCCCACTGTCTGTAATCCACCATGACATTCACCCCACAAACGGAATGGGAGCAAAACGGAGCCATTCCGGATGCGTTGGAAACTGGGGGTTACTTTCACAGTCGCAGGTTGACTGGTTTAGTGAAGTGAACTTTTGTTTTAAATACCGCAGATGCAGCTTCAGTGTAATCACTGTTACAGCTCTTGAAGTAAGACGACAGAGGTGTAACAATCCTCCGCACCGACTCGCCTCCTCTCCAAAACCAAAGCCCCTTCGTCTCCTGCTGCAGAGCTGACGAGGGCTCGGATCAATAAGTGGGAACACTCCTGACTTCCCCGGTCTTCTCTGGCAATCGTTTCAGCCCTGTCCGAACCACAAAGGTCAGATTACCTGAGGAGAGGACGGCGGAGAGAGAGGCAGCTCATGCATTAAAGACTGAGGCGAGTTATGGGGTTTGGGGGCGAAGAAGGTGGAGGAGTGAATTTAATAAATAACAAATTCCCCTCAGCTCCACACGGCCATGCTTTGTGTTTAATTGCGCCGTATTGATTTTTCCCTCTCTCTTTCTTCTCCTCCTTTGGTCGGGCATTGCTCTCATTTTGGAGCAATCAGGTGGCCAAGGTGGACCTCGAAAGCCGAATGTCATTTACTCCTCCCCCCCTCTTCCTCTCACCCTCCCTCTTCCCCCTTTTCTCCCCTCACCTTCCTCATGATGCCTTTTGTGTTTCACATTTTCTGTGGCTTCTCAACTGTCAAGGTTATCTGAAAATGACTTTGGCACCATTTGTGCGGAGATTCTGATAGAAATAAAGATTGCATCCAAAGCCCTAAATGGTCTTTTTACTCACAGGAATAATGTTACTCTTTATTCTTGAGATGGAAAGAGGAGAAATGAGGTGACGAATCTTAAGGTCTAAAAAGAAGCATTTACACCGAGGCTCTATGCCGGGGAAACTGAATGCAACTTTATTCTTTGCAAACAAGAAAGAAACACATTAAACTGAAGCAACTTGAACTTTTATCAGAAAGCAAACACACAAAGGGGACAAACTTTAATTACATCTTTCGCAAGTAAGACCTCTAGGTGTTTATTATCGTAATTTCTTTGTCCTTTTCCTCCTTCAGCATCATCGCTCACGTTAATCAAAGTGTCGGAAAGTTTGGAAAATACTTCAAAAGGTGACAGAAAGCTCTGCGGGAGCACGGAACACAAAGTAACATGAAAATCCATCATGAAAAAATAATCAAACTCAGTTGATCTAACGCAGCGTGTCAGCAGCTTCACCTTTAAATCAGAGGGAGAGGTAAATTATGTGTTTGGAGCTGACGGGGGTTCAAGTTAAATGCCATGAATAAAGCTACAGTAGCACAACCTCTGCTACGAGGAATCAGGGAGAAAATCACACATGTCAACAGTGCCCGCTCTGCGGACGGAGGTGTGTATTTTCATCTAAAAGGAAAGCAATTTGCAGAGATCCTCCCCTTTAAAAGCTGACTTGACATTTCCTGCCATTATGAGCACAATGTGCTCTATTATAAAATGAATGGCAATTAAGCACATGTGAAAATGTCAGGTGAATTACAGCCCGCTGAGGTGGAGCTGGTGACACGCAGACACCATCACCCACTTTGATCACACGCCCTGCCCACAACCGCATCACCTGCTCATCACGGCCTCCGAAACCACTTAAAGGATCCAGATTTTGTCAGAAAACTGTATCGGGTTTTAGTCGTGTTTTGTACATTAATATGTGAAGTCTCCAATGCTTTAAGAACAATTCTGTTTGCAGGTCACTCTAACTTTGCTGTGACTTGTTGGAAATGGGTTAAATGCATTTAATACGGTGGCTGTAAAATGCAAATCAAAATTACAACAAATGAAACACAGAAAAACTTTAAATAAATTTATATTTTTGGAAAACATTTTTACAATAAAAAAAAATTGATGTGACTTGCAAAACACTTTTATCAAGGACAAAACAAATTTACAAAACACGATTAAATGCTTTGAGACAAATTTAGAAATGGCAGAACACTTTTACAAGTCCTAAAACAAATTTACAAAGATGGACTGGGTTATTTGTTTGGCTACAGAATGATGTGGCATCAACTCGACACAAACTGACTGACCTCCAGGTAATCACTTTCACACCACGTTTGGTGTTTGGCACAAAGTGTTTTGTAAAATTTGTTTCAAGTTTGTAAAAGTGTTTCAGATTTTGTAATTTTTATTCGCTCTTCCCAGCCACCATAATCTGAACTTTAGCAAAATGAAGTTTATAATGTTTGGAACCAAGTCAAACAAGTCGAGCAGAAAAGTCATAGTTTCCGATTGTGAGTAATAAACTGGTCCACTTAATTTTATGATAGAGTTTGAGGCTTCCTGGTGTAACAGTTTTGTACTGTCTCTCATGTGTTTGTGTGATGAATCAGGCTAAAACTTTCACTTTTGGTAACAGCATGCCGATTCATCTGCTAACAGAAGCGCAACAAGGTCCCTCTCACAGTCACTCATGGAGCAATAAGCTCCAGCATAGCGAAAACAAAGAAACAAATACTTGAGCTAACTATCAGACAAGCTACACCATGAGGAAAGCTAGCAAAACACGCAGGTAATGAGCCAAAATTACACAGTAAAATAATCACAAAAACATCGTACAAGAATTTCAAAAAATATCTCAAACATTGAATAAAACAACACTTCTTTTAACAAGATTAGCAAACTTATTTCGTAAGAATTTAAAAGAGCTCGTTAGCACACTACTTACCACAGAGACAGCATAGTGCAAACTGGCGAAGACGCACAAGCTACACCACTCAAGTCTGCACGGAGCCCCAGCAGAGGGCGCTCACATCACATAGTCCCAGCGGATATGCATTCCAATTTATTGTTAACAGTATTTAACAGTGTTTAAACCATTAATATATTGAAATAATGACATTTTATGCCAAGTGATGACAAGTGGAGTCTTTAAGTCCTCTACACTGGCGCCCCCTGTGGACAAAGCAGCCCTCATGAATCCTGTCCTCTTACAAGAATCTCATCCTGCAGATCTTTGACAGTCAAATAAATCTGTTTTGGGGAGTTTGGAGAATCTGAAATAGTGTGTTTCTTTACCTGCTTGACTGACACTCGCCCCCCTTCCTGGTATGGGGTGTTTAATCTGGTTGTGTTTGCTTTTGTGCATGAAAAACAGACAAAAATATGAATTTCAGTCGTTTTCATAAAAGTAGAAAAATCCTCACATTAAATTTCAAATTCATACACACTCGTGCCAAAAAAGATGATTTGCATGTTCAAGCTCTTTGTGTGTCACGTCCCAAAAAAAGAGACTTAGAGGCAGAAGAAGCTCAAATTCAAACTGAAATTCTCCTCAGAAACAAGAATAAAACAGATGAAGAATCACTTGGATGGATTAGATTTGACTTTAAGTTTTTCTGTCACGGTGGAAAGAATCACTGAAATGAGAAGAGTGAAATCACACACACAGACACACACACACACACACACACTCATTCACAGTGTGTGCCATAATATCGGCATTCCTTAAAAAGAGGCGATGCCTTCATCTGTGCCCTCTTACCTCATCCTGAGTCACTAATCTTCATCGACAGATTTCCAATGCAATCTCCTCGAGGTCATGTCTCTTTAATTATCCAAACAGGTCAAAGGTCACAGACACTTATCATGTGGTGAGGGGTCAAAGGTCAGCCTGGGAGGTCACGCAGGTCAAGGCAGTAGCAGAGCACAAGGGGAATCTGGCAGCAGATCCGCTGCTTACTAACCAGACGTGATTAGTGTCGGCCAACAGGGATTTGATCACGGACTGCAGCCAGCCCTGCAAGGCCTGATGGGTAATTCAAGGCAGGTGGTGGGTGTATCTGTGGAGGAAATGAAACTTTGATGGGTGAGGAGAAATACGGTGAAAAAAAAGGTTTCTTTTTATCTTCTTCTCAGGTGAGCTGGATGGAAGAAAAGATCGTTTTTTTACTGCAAGTAAGACATTATCTATCTATCTATCTATCTATCTATCTATCTATCTATCTATCTATCTATCTATCTATCTATCTATCTATCTATCTATCTATCTATCTATCTATCTATCTATCTATCTATCTATCTATCTATCCATCCATCCATCCATCCATCCATCCATCCATCCATCCATCCATCCATCCATCCATCCATCCATCCATCCATCCATCCATCTTTCTGTCAGAGCAGACAATAAAGTTTTCAGAATCTGAATTCCTGCTGACGCCAATCAGTCAGTCAATTTTTATCTATAAGCACCAACAGGCAGAAATCTCGAGCAGAACCAGATTCATGTAAGACAGTCATCTGCCGCTACTGCATTGGGTTTGAATAGGAGATAGAGATGGAGGAAGAGAGAGATGTATAAAGCTGAGTTTGATGCATGTAGTTGAAGTAGCTGGAAAGCAGACAGGTCCACGCAGCAAAACATCTGCAGCAGAGATCTAGAGGAACCTATGGAGTTTAGGGACTCCTAGAAAAGACTGAATAAATGAATCTAATAGGACATGATGATTCTAAGGTAATGACACAGACAGAAAGAAGAAAGAGAAGAAGGGAAAGGTCTCTAACCCCTTGTTTCCACTTTTAGCATCTTTAACCGGGTCCTGAAACAGTGAGAGATTAACATGTTTCCTGATGATACTGTGTGCAGTCGCTTAGCCTCACAAAATCCAACCAGCCTCCTGCACACACACACACACACACACACACTTTTAATTGACTTTGCAGTGATTTAATTACCCTCAGTAACAACCTGTCTCAGTTTGAATTTACACCACCCACCTTCCCATCCCATCTTAACCCCATTACATTTCCCACTTCAAAACACACACACACACACACACACACACGCATTCATTTTCACACAGCAGGGGACCTACCTACGGAGTGAGGAGAAGGGAACATACTGCGGGAAACACACGCACACAGATGCCAGCCAAACACGCGGTGATCAAAGACGACAGGGACGACAGGTAGAAGCACATCAGCCAATCAGAGCGGAGCATCAGTGGGTGACCTTGCTGGGCTGCAACTGATTGGTGGTGTCAGAGCTGTCAGTCATGTCAAACCTTTTGATGGTGGACAGACAGAGACCCGTGTGTGTTTGTGTGTGTGTGTTTGCCGGGTAATGCAGAGACTCGGTCTGTTTAAAGTTTTTAATTATAGGAAGAAATGAAGTGATTTGCATAATTAAACCTCCTTTTTGTTGAATTTTCACGGTCACATTTGCTCTACCTTTGATGTCTTATTCATGTTTTTGCCTCATTCATACCCTGCGTTTATCCGCTGAAGGTAAAGAGATCCTAGAGATCCACACACACACACAAACACACACACACATACCAGAGCAGGAACTAGTGTGTATCTTTCAGCCTCTTGTTTAAGCAGTCAACAGGGCCAAACACCAAAATGTAAGCGGGCAATTATTAGCGTGTGTCCTTTTATTCTGCCCGCCATCAGAGAGATTATGGGAATAATCGGCTTAATGAGCCTCAAACTAAGATGGGATCCAGATTCCCCGGGGGGGGGCAAGACTATTGTACCAAGGCCACAGCCCACACATGACTGTGATGTCAAACAGCCCCGCTGTTCTAATACCATTTACTGCAATACCAATCACAGCAGCGGGCTTTGTTTGGTGTGTGTGTTTGTGGTTGTGTGTGTGTGTGTGTGTGTGTGTGTGTGTGTGTGTGTGTGTGTGTGTGTGTGTGTGTGTGTGTGTGTGTGTGTGTGTGATAAGGAGAGGGATGCCTGTTCGGCGCTCTGAGGTAAAATCTATTAGATCTGCAGATTTAACCCTTCACTGCCACAGGTTTCTCAATAACATGAATATCAGTAAAGGGAAACTGATTCGACCATGTTCAGTCAATACTTTACAAAATAAACATGAAACAAATATTTGATATTTTTTAGATTTAACACACATTTGCATTAGCAGTTCTACTTTAAAGTGTAAGGGTCACCAAAACAAACAAAAATTTTAGTCTCATACATTCTTCTAACTAACTCGACTTTCATCTTCACCTTATTTATCGCACTTAAAACCTCCAAACCTTTGGCTCTGCTGTGGCGTCTTCAGAAAGATGTCCGGCCTGTTCAAAACCTCAAACTAAAAAGCTCTGTGTGCCTCTGAAGGTTCAGGGGCTCAGATAAAAATGAAAACGGCGGCTGGTGTTTCTGCTCTCTGTGCTGCTGCCGGCCTGATCTCCACCTCTGCTGACGGCGCTGTCAGGAGCTCAGCAGCTGCATCAGCCTCAGCGCTCTGCAGTACATTGACATTTTATCACTGTAACTAGGATTACAGTGGACCTTTTATTTCCTTTGATAGTGTGACAGCCCGGTGACATTTTCCCTTCACAGGGACAGACCGGCAGCAGCACCAAAACCGACTCTGCGAAGAAATTAGACTTTTTTTAGGAACAGAGTGCAGGTGTGTGTGTTTTAGTGAGAGGGCACTTGTACCGAGTCTGTGCTAGGAAAGATGTTTTTTAATCACTCGGAGCTTTTAGTGGTGGTATTGCAGTCCAGAAAATTTCTACTTAAAGCACAAAGAAGGGTTTGGTAAAAGGAAACTTAGTTTTTTTCTGCTGTGGTGTAAATTTGGAAGAAATTTCTCTTTAAAAAGTGCTCACTGAGCTTCTAAATGTCATTTTTCCAGCTTTTAACAACATGCTCGGACACATTTGCTCTAAAGTTTACACATCACCATACTGTACTTCCTTATTCTGATCCTGTTATACTTGGTCAGTTGCTAATTTCACTCTATTTAAGTCAATGTACACATCCTTGTGAGTTAAGAGGGGTGTGGAGGGTGTGAATCTGTTTTAGTCTGACGGGAAACATATGAACCCGACTTACAGCTAACTGGTCTTGTAAAAGAGGCCAGAGGCAGTTAAATAGTGTAAGGTCATCAAAAAGAGACAAAGAGGAAGGGGAGGGAAGGGTGGAGAGAATCTGATATAAGTATAAAAAGATTTTTACAATTGTACGTTGAGTTTTTAAAGTTAATTATCCGAATTATACGACTCTTGTTCCTGAAAAAGTCGCGAAGACTGTCAAAAGACGTGAAAAAAGGGGTAAAAATCTGAGCATCTCTGCTTGTTTCTGACTGTCTGTCAGAGTGGTCTTTGTGTTTATGCAAATCTAATGATAATAAGTCTTTTCAGACAGATTTATATTCCTAATGCAAAAGTGGAAACAGTTTATGAAAATGCGACCGCTGTAGTATTTACATTTCATTCTGCTGTCAGTAAATATATCAGCTACCTCCAGTCATAACAGCTTTTTTTCTTCTGCAACATAAAAATTCAAGAGTAATTCAGATCTAAAACTTTTATCTCTGCAAAATAATTTTACTTAGAACGTGTTCATTTACTTCTGGGAGGTCTCAGTTTCACAGTAAGTCGTTAGTCTTACATAGACGCCACTCTGTCTTATCGATATGAATCAGGACAACAAAGCAGTTTCCTTGTGGTTTACTCATATTCAAGCAGCTTTAAGTTAGCCAAAACATTAGACTTACCCCTTACCAAAAAGAAGTATGTTTTTAAACTAAGTATGCTTTCAGTTTACTTTTTGTGTACTTTTCAGAGCTATGTTAAGTATACTTGGTTAATGTTAAGTATACTTGGCTTGTACAAAGAATTATACTTAAAGGGCTCTATTTTCGTACCTCGCCGGAGACGATACGCAGAGATACGAGTTTCCCACCCTGGTTTGGTGTAAATCTAAACAAAAATGAAACAGTTTTTCCCCTTTGTGTTTTGTTACCAGATAATTATAAGAAATTTTAGGTAACTGATGAATGTTTAGTGAATATTAACGAGGTTTAAAGCCTAAAAATCATCTGAATGAAAACAGCGTTAATGTTATTTTCTACCCCGCAGATGGAGATCAGAAACAACAGCATTATGTAGTAAGACATTCATGAGCTACACTCACTAATCACCTGTTTTGCCTTGGGTCAAAGGTCAGGGGATAGTGCAGAAGCCCGGTTCAATAGTCGTCCCTTTACAACACATTGATGCTTTCTGGTGATGTCATGTGACCTTCTGACCTGCCCACTGTTTTAAAGCTCTAATTAGCTATTGACCTTGTCTCCTCCCACGTCACCCCTTACACCCAGCGTGACCCCGGCGGTGAGGTCACACGCCTGTTGACATCAGCCATAGTTGCTCTCCTCTTTTCTCTTTTATAAGTCATTGAATAACAGATGCCTGGGAAACACGTCTCTTTTCAAAACTCCGTCTTGTTTTTGGAAACACCGGATTTTAAACTTTATTCAGTGAACCAGTTAAACCTCAGGGTCTGACAGTAAAACCAAAGCTTATGAGCCTTTAGCCTTTCTTTTCTTCTTTGGTGGCGACTCTGCTGATTAAACTAGTAAGTTATCGTATGTTCTGCAGTGAGTCCCAGTTTCACTGTAGTATGACCGTAGAGGCTTCGCTCTGGTTTCCTACAGCTGAATGTGAAATAACAGAATCAAAAATTAGAAAATCTGTCAAATTCATGCTTTGCAATGTTTGCGTGACAGAGAAGATGAAGAAAAAAATGCTATTATACAAAAGCTTGTTTTATAAATTGGGGTCAGCTGGATTATTTCAGATCTATCTGCATCTCACGCAGGGTTTTATTAGGTTGATCTGGCCCAATTTGACCCCCCTCTCACAGAAACCAGCAAAGGTCTGATAATCAGATGGTTTTAAGGATTATCTTGTCAGATTATCCAGTTACGTGGCGAGTGATTTTTCTTCCCTACAATCAGCACAGAAGACAATCAGAGCCTCTCTTTCTTTTTCACAAATAAACATCCTGAAATCTTAGTATTCTGTCATTTACTGTAAAATCACATTTGACCGCAATGATTTAGGAATTTTCAACTTTTGACAATCAGAACTCTGCAGTTAAAAAGGGTTTTCCTTTGTGTATTCACCACACACTTGATTGAGACTACATTTACACATGCCCGGCTATTTTTAAAAATGTCCATTTCCCCCTCTCAGTTTCCAAAAGAACTGTGTGTAAACCACTACCTTTTCAGAAAGGTTTCCATTTATGCCGTCAAGAGCATCCCAAACCTGTAGGTGGCAGTGTAGCGAGACGCTCAAGCCCATGTTAGCCAATCAGAATCTCGCATAGCAACAACAACAACAACATTTCCTTCTTTCCGGTGCACAATCTGCCATCAGCTACCCAAATCTCTGTTTGCACGTTTGCATGTAAATAGAGAAAAACTGAGTTTTCCAAAATCTCCACTTTGGCCGGAGTTTTTATAAGGCATCATTTTCAGGGGCGAATTCTCTGTCTAAACGTCTAAACGAGTCTAAACGAAGAGTGCAAACGATGAATAATGTCTCAGTTTTTTTTAATTACTGGGAACATGTAAACGGGGCCTGAATGTGTCTCCATTTGTTGTCATGAGTAAGATCTTTGACGTCTCTAAACTTGGTTAAGATTTCAAAAATCTTTTGGTGTGGCAGGTTTAAGTTAGTTTGATTTGGTTACAGAATTAGAAAATACATTTGCATATCAGCACAGACACCTTTAATTCAACTTGAGTAACAAAAACAGGAAAAGTCAGCATGTGTTCCTTTGTTGTCATCATCAAGCATGTTGGATATGTCGTAGACCACTTTAGCGGCGCCACTTTCAATGTCTGTCTCCCTCGTTAGGTTTTAATTGTGCATTGAAAGGAAACTGTCAAGCGAATAAACCTTGTAGAGTTTTGTTTTGATTGACAAGACTCCATTATTTAGAACAAGTCAACCCTAGAGTTCATGCTTCACATCTGCATCCAAACTGCACATTGCTGAACAC